TGCATGCTGCTCCAGAGCTTCAGCTGGGAATGCAGAGCTGCCACCTGCTGGGTGGCTTCCTCCAGTTCTCTCACCAGCTGGTTCCTCTTACTGTTTAACTTCAACCTCTCGGTCAGCGCCTTGCTCTGGGTGTCCCGGGCTGCCTGCAGGTCCTTCTCCAGCCGCTTGCGGGCCATCTCCAGCGGCTCCACCTCGCCCTGCTGATGAAGGGCTGATGAAGCGCATCTCCTTCAGCAGCTCCTCCTTCTCACTGATGAGGATCAGCCGGTCCCTCTCCGAGTCCCGCACTCCAGGCCAGGCCCACTGTCCAGCTTGGCCAGCTGGATCTTCAGGTTGGCGATCCTCCTCTTAGCCTCTTCGTACCGAAGGCGCAATCGGACCTTCTCTGCCAACTGATTGTGGCTGCTGGTACCGAAACTCCCCGAGATGTCCGTCTGGGAGTTCATGTCCAGGTACTGCTTCGCCAGCGAGAAACCGGAACTCTCTAGAGAGCTGCTGCTGGACCACAGGTCAGAGTGGGACCTTCTGTCGGTCCGGAAGCCGTCCTTCAGCATCGCAAGGCTCTTTTTTTTTTTTTTTAAATATATTTTATTGATTTTTTACAGAGAGGAAGGGAGAGGGATAGAGAGTTAGAAACATCAATGAGAGAGAAACATCGATCAGCCGCCTCCTGCACACTCCCCACAATCAAGGTACATGCCCTTGACCGGAATCGAATCTGGGACCCTTGAATCCCCAGGCCAATGCTCTATCCACTGAGCCAAACCGGCCAGGGTGCATCGCAAGGCTCTTAATGAGATCTTGCTTTTCCTTTTCTCCACAGGTGATGGCCTTTTTGATGGCTTTCGTTTCTCTCAAGACAGCCTGAGCTCCATCCAGTTTGTAGCTGCCCTGAGTGTCAGACATTTTCTTGTCAATTTTCTGCAGGGTCTGGAAGCCGTGCTCTTTGAACTGCAGCTCCTGCTGGAGGTGAACCATCTCCCTCTTCAGCTTGTTGACCCGGGATTTTGCAGTGGCAATTTCAGCTTTCAGGATCTCAGGGTCATACTTAGAGCTGGACGACGAACCAGAGACCAAGCTGACCTGGGAGCCCAGCTTGCGCTCCCAGACGGCATGCAGCTGCTGATACTCCTGCTGTGCAAGCTCCAGGCGCTGCCGCTTCACCTGGTAGATCTTCTGTGCACTCAGGGCCTCCCGGGCCACCACCAGGTGATCCTTCAGCATGTGCTCCTGCTCCCGCCGCCACTGTGCCCGGGGGGCCTCAGTCTGAGTGGTTTTGGTGTTGTGGTCTATGAAGTAATCTCCAACCCGTGGGTCATACGCCTCTTCCCATCCTAGAGGCAGCTCATCGCTAATGCAGGCGGCGAAGGTGAGCGGTTTGGTGTACCTGTCCCGCGGGTCCATCCAGCTGGTGGTGTGGCTCGTGTGGTCTATGTAGTAGACCTTGCCATCGAAGTCGCGTGCCTCCTCCCAGCCCTCCGGCAGGGGCAGCTCTGGCCCGGGGCATCTTCCCAAGAGTGGCCCGCGCTCCCCCATGCAGCATGCAGCTCCCAACCGGCCGCTGCTGGGGCCCCGGGGGGGGGGGGGGGGGGGGATGGCGGCGGTGGTGCCCATGGCCACCCAGCACTCGCTCAGTTTGCAACTTCTCTATTATTATTATTTTAGTTCTCACCTGAGGATGTGCTTTTATGGATTTTAGAGAGAGGGATGGAGGGAGAGAGAGAAACATCGATCACTTGCCTCCCGTACGCGCCCGAGTCAGGGATCTAACCTGCAACCTGGGTATGTGCCCTGACCAGGAATCAAACCCACGACCCTTCCGTGCATGGGAAGACACAGGAGGGCTCCGGGCTGGGGACGCGCCAGCCTGCTGGTGCCTCCACTCCGCCCAGCCTCCCTCTCTGACCCAACCCCGGAAAGGTGGACAGCCACAGGGCCTGGGACTGGCTTCGGGGCTCATGAAGGTCCCCAGGGGGCGCCCCTCAGGGGAAGACTCAGTGGCAAATCCCTTTCAGGCTCCATCGCTGAACTCCTTTTCCAGGTGCCTGCCCAGTTTCAAGGCTCTAAACCCACTTTTCTGTTTCACTGGTTCCCAAACCTGTGTCCCCAGCGCACCTGTCCTGGAATGACATTTTTATGGACCTCAGCCAGGGCTACCAGTGAGCCATTCCCCACCTCAAACCTGCCCCTCTTCTATTTCCCCAACTCAGGAAAGGAAAAAAGTATACATTTTAAAAACCCACTGGCACACAGAGAACGGACTGATGGTTGCCAGAGGGGAGGGGAATGGGGGGGGGTGTGAAAAGGGGAGGGATTAGGAAGTGCAGATTGGTAGTTCCAGGCCCTGACTGGGTGGCTCCACTGGTTAGAGCATTGTCCCCACAGGCCAAGGCTTCCCTCCCATCAGTCAGGGCACATACAAGAGGCAACCAATTAATGCATAAATAATGAAACAACACACTGATGTTTCTATCTCTCTCCCTCTCTCTAAAATCAGTAATAAAGAAAATTCAAATTGGTAATTACAAAACAGTCCCGGGATGTAAAGTACAGCATAGGGAATATAGTCAATACTATTGTAATAACCATGTATGGTGTCAGGTGGGTACTGGAAATACCTGGGGAAGACTGTAAAGTATATGATTGTCTAACCACTATGGTGTCCGCCTGAAATTAATAGAAAACGATATGGACTGTAAACTGTAATTTAAAAACAAATCCAATGGCTCCGTCCACTTTATTCCCGATCCCTCTCCCCACTTGTCTCCATTTCTGCTGCTACCAGCCCCCCAGCCCTCACCCGGACACTGGCTGCCGGGGCCTCTCTGGCTTCCCTTCACTCTTGCCCCCACAGCTTACCCATCTCGCTGCGGTCAGGGTGTGTGCTTATGCACACAATAAATAAAGCTTTTACTTACAACAGTTGAGATGTACAAAAACTTGCAGAGGTACTTGTACAGAGAATTCCCCTATACCCAACGCAGTGTCCCCCGGGAAATGTTAAATCTCAATTACTGTGGTGCATTTGTCACAACGAATGGGCCGGTATTGATACCTTCTTAACAGCACGATTTATTCCGATTTCATTCGTTTCCCAGGTCCCTTTCCTCTCCAGGACCCCATCCAGGACCCCAAGGGCACGGAGTCATGACGCCTCGGGCCCTCTGGGCTGTGCAGGTCTCAGGCGGCCCCATTGTTGCTGGCCTTGCCGGTCGGGCATTCTGCAGGCTGCCCTTCAGCTGGGTTTGTCTGATGTTTTTCTCATGGCGACACGGGCCGTGGGTTTGGGGAGAAGACCCCCGAGGAGAAGAGCCTCCCACCCCCATCCAGGGTACACGAGCCCAGTGCGTGTCCATGGGAACCTTGGTCGCCTGGCTGAGGTGGTGCTGGTCAGCTTTCCCACCGTCCAGTTCCCTCCCCTCCCCCTGCACACTGTCCGGGGGAAGCCAGTCACCGAGGGCTGCCCACACTAGGGATGGGAGTGACGCCACACCTCCGTGAGGGCTCTTCTATGAAAAGCTAACTCAGACCCTGCCGCCCTCCACTGCTGTGCAATTCAAGAAGCTCCCTAAAAACCCCACCCCTTCCGCTGGCTCACCCTGACTCCGCATGCCGCTGCCTGCCTCTCAGCTCCTCTCCCTCCGACCTCCCCCTGACCCCTGCTCCAGCCCTGCGGCCCCCTGATGTAGTCACACAGGATCCAGGCCCACCTTCGGCTTTCTATGCCCACTGCCTGGGATACAGGAGGCTCCGCCCCTAAACACCTGGTGGATGGATGAAGGCCTGAATCCTCCTTCCACAGGCGAGCGAATGAAGGCTTGGAGGGTAAGTAACCTGCCAAGGTCCCAGTCAGAGAGCTGCAGAGCTGGGCTGCAACCCGGACCCCTCTGATCAGAGCCCGGGAGGAGGTTCGCTGCCTGCCCCCGGCCTTACCGTCCTCTGTTTCCACGTAGAGGCGGAGTCCCAGGTCCCTGCTACGGTTCAACAACCCGTGGTCACTGGCTGCTGTCACGTCCAGCACCAGCCAGCCCTCGTCCTCAGCTCGGAGCGTCTGAAGATCCAAAAAGAACAAGTCAGACTCCCTGTGGATACGAAAGAACAATTAACCGAAGCCGGCACAGCTGCCTTCGTGTTTCCTGTGCCCACCTGGGGACCACTCCTGGGGCGTCGGCCCTCCTGGCTCTGAGCTGGGCGCCTCACTGCCTCATCTCACCGCATCTGCCGTAGAAAGGTGCTGCCGCCCCCGTGGACAGATGGGAAAACTGAGGCTGGGGAGCTCGGTGACCCGTCCAAGGTCCCACAGCCAGGACAGCAGGGAGGGGATAGAAGCCAGGGTGCCAGGGCCTCGGGCCAAGCATCTTCCTCTTGGAGGGTGTGCTCCCAGGAAGCCCCCGTCCGTCCCCCCAGGGCTGGGCCGACACACCCACAGAGTTTGACCGGGAGGCGGGGTGTGGGCAGGCACCTGTTGGCCCGCTCTCTGACCACCTCGAACATGCTGACATGGAGGGTCCTGTTGAGCAGGTGGGTGCTGGGCAGCTTGTAAATCCGGAACTCGGCAGCTGTGACCGCCTCCCCCGCCGGGATCTGGGTCAGGTCAAAGCGGAACTCCTTCCAGGGGGGCTCCTGGTGGCCCAGGGAGCGGTCGAGCTCCACTGCAAGACAAAGCGGGCTGTTCCCTCCTGGCTCTGGGCTCGGGCTCCAGGGTGGCAGGGCCCGTGGGAACCAGGGGCCGGGACAGCCTGGGAGAGGCATTTCCTCCCTGGGGAACGGGCCTGCCCACAGGCTCTGCCCCCAGTGCTGAGAGGCCCGGAGCCCGGTAGTGAGGTGCCCAGCACAGCACCTGACGCACAGTGGGGCCAACAAGGGCAGCTTCCATTTCTGCCCCCAAGCCTCCGACCCAGCAGGTCCGGCCCCGCCCCCTCTGTCTCTGGGCCCACAGATTAGCAGAGAGGACAGGTCCCCCCTCTGAGAGACGGACGTCAGACCCAAGGAGAAGAGGCCGAGTGGCGCAGGGCCATGACTGAGTGCACTTCAGAGCCCACCCGGTGTGCGGATGGACGTGGGACGGTGAGCGCTCACAGCTGACACTGGAGCTGGGCCTTGAGGGTGACGGTGAATTTACCACGAGGTCACGGGACAAGAATGCTGCAGAGGAAGGGACCGGTGTGAGCAAAGGCCTGGAGCTGAGAGATGACAGCACAGACAGGGAGACGACAGCCACAAAACACAGCGAAGGGCGAACGGGTGGCAGGGTCCTCTCGGAGCAGGTGAAGGAGGAGGGAGGCCAGAGGGAGAGATGGAAAGGAACAAGAAGCAAGGTGGGAGTGACAGCTCCTGGGGAGGCCCCGTCAGTGCGGGAGTCAGAGGTCCCATGGTGTGGTGGGATCTGGGTGGGCTTCCTGGAGGAGGTGACATCTGAACTGGCCTCAAAGGATGGGATGACGGAGTCTTGGCAGGTGGGGAGGTGGCAGGGAGGGCTTTCTAGGCAGAGGGGACATCGAATGCACAGGTTGAGTGGGCCAGGGCCACCCACAGATCAGAGGGGTGGGGTACGGGCTGTGAGTCTGGCGGTGGCCTGACTGAGGAGAGTTGGAGTTCAGCCTAGGAGCATGGCTGTGCCTCTGGCCAGTGGGTGGCCAGGGCTCCAGGCAACAGGGAGCAGGGTGTGGTGTGGGAGCTGTGCGTGGAGGTGGGGTGAAGCATGGGCTGGAGGGGGACCCGAGGTGGCTCCGTTGCTGGGCCTGGTCCAATACTTCAGGCAAGAGGCCGCTTGTGCAGAATTAATCCCACATGCCCAGCTGCCGGAAATGCCCAGGACAGTATATTTAGGGCCGTCTCACTTTAGCCTTCTGTCACTTTCAAACACTAAAAATCTGTGTTTCCGGAAAGCAGGGGCGGGAGCCGCCCAGCACCTTCCCCCAAACCCAGCACTGAGATTTTAATGACACGTCTGAGAGTCTTTTTAAAGAGTCTCTCTCTGGCTACTGGGCTCAGTGACCACAAGTCACCAGGCTGGTGGCAGAGGCGGATGTGGGAGCACGTCCTGTCCTCGTGGTGGGAACCTGGTCCAGGGAGGGCCGGGCAAACAGCTGTGCTGGGTGGGGCCAGCAGACACACACATGTTTGGACAGGAGATGAGTGTTTCATTCCCAGACCGGGGAGGAGAGGAAATAGAATGTCCATCACCAGACAGGAAGCTGGACACGCAGCAAATGCCCAGGGGGAGCCAGGCTGTTTCAGAGACACGGGCGGCACCGGGTCCTCCGCACAGGCCGAGGGCGTGGGGGGCAGGGTCCTCGGCAGACACGCACTCGCACAACTTTGGTGACAATTCCCGCAGATTCAGGGACCACACAGACCGAGGCCATCACGGGGCCGTGTAAGAATCCCGGGTCCGCGGGACGGAACAGGCCCAGGCTGTTGGCTGTCACAGGGTGTGGCACGGAGAGTGGAGGCGTGTCGTTCCTTCACACCCTTCAGCGGACGGACCCTCTCAAAGCACCGCTATGTGTATCTGTCCCCAGGCACAGTGGGACTGGCGGGTGGGTCACCGGGCCTCTGTCTGCAGGCCTGAGGCTGATTTCCATGTTGGATCGGGGACTGAGGGAACCAGCGCACACCTGCCAGCTCCACGTGGGCACCACGCCGTGTGGCCTCCTCCCCTTGCTGGGTCAAGAGCACCTTGTTCACTTTAACGGACTCTCATTCTAAACTTCTGTCCTGCGTTTTGATCAACCAGCAGGAGCTCCAGCTCAGGAAACGGCCCCCCTGGCTGCTCCCAGCAAGCCCCGGAAGATGGGACATTGATACAAAAATGCTTTCATCGAAAGTTGGTGAAATTTCCTGATGCATGGAACTGGGTAGAGAGAGCAACTTGTCAGCGGGGAGGGTGGGAGGAGGACACCTGTGGACTTGCAGCTTTTGCAGTTGCTTTGAGTTCGGAGAGGTATTTCCCCAGGCGGTGTTCTGAGAAAACATGTTCTGGCCTCGATTTCCTCCTTGTTAACTGTGCAGATCAAGCTGCTTTCGCCAGTGAGGCAGCTTCGGCAGCTTGGAGTGCAGGCCTGTGCAGGGGTCCAGGCCCAGCGGTCCAGGGGTTCCCAAAGGTGTGGACGGAGTCGACGAAGAATGTTTTACACGGAGACAGCGTTCAGAACTCTCTAGCTCTCTTTAGTCTCCGTGGATCTTCCTGTGCCTGGCTGAGGCCACAGACAAAGATCCTGAGGCAAACTGAGCCTTTATTTTTATAGTCAGAGGTAAACAAGGTAGTGGTTACCAAAGTTACACTGTTCTTGTGAGTTTCACTTGTTTTGACCACTTGCTGCACTTCCTTAGCCCATTAGCTTCCCAGGTAAGATCTAGGGAGTGCTATAAGGTCAAGCCTAATTATGCTTAAGAGGACTGTGCCCTCTAAGCTGGGACTTGTTTATGACTTTGCCAACAGGTCAGTCCGAGGCTTAACCCTATAGCGGCTCCCCACAGGCCTGACCTTGCACCCCCAGGCATGTACTTCCTCTCTGGGCTTCGTCTCCTCCTCTGGGAACTGGGAATAAAGATGCTGCCCAGCTTTCCTCACGGGCCATGAAAGAGCTTTGTAAAGAAGCAATGGCCTGGGCGGGGTGACCACTCAACAGGAGTGTAGGATGAACCTGACTTGCAATCTCCCAACTTTGTGCTAAGATGTGATAGTGCCCGGAGGCCATGTCCAAGATTCCAAAGCCGTGGGGTGGAGGGAAAGGGAGACTCTGAGTGACGTTTTTCTGTACTCATTTGCTCATTTATTTATTCATTACTTTATCAAGTTCAATTTATCAACAAATATATCAAATTCTTACTGTGTGGCTCTGGCCAGTGTGGCTCAGTTGGTTGGAGCGCATCCCATGCACCAAAAGGTGGTGGATTCAATTCCCGGTCGGAGCACACACCTCAGTGGCAGGTATGATCGCTGGTCAGGGCCCATGGGGGAGGCAGCCAATCCGTATGTCTGTCTGTCTCTCTCTCTCTCTCTCTCTCTCTCTCTCTCTGTCACTTCCTCTTTCTCTAAAACCAATAAACATATCCTTGGGTGAGGATTTTAAAAAAAATTCTTATTACAGATCAGAGTCTGACTGGCCACAGAATACAGCAGTAAACAAGACAGAAGTCAGGTCTCTGCACTCATGTAGTTTACGGTCTAATGGGGAGGGAATATAAACAACAAAACAAGTAAAAGAGGGGACGCCATTTATCGAAAGTGGAATAGAGAGGGTTGTGAGGTCAGGAGTAATGGGAAAGGGGTGGGCAGTGCTTTTCTTAGGGTAGTCAGTATGGCATCCCTTTGAGAAATAGGTAAGAGCGGACGTAAACATTCACACACGTTACTGGTAGGAATGCTGTGGAGAGGAACCTGGCGATATCCTCTTGCAATACCCTAGCAAAATTACGTATGAATTTATCCTTTGACACATGGGTCCCAAGGACAAGATGGCAAAGGATGAGAAGCCATGTGCAGGAAGCTATTCATTGGGCACGAGAGACAGACAAAGCTACGCCTTGCTCAATAGGGACCTCTACATGTTTATTTTCCACAAAATTACAAAGGCTGCCCAAAATGTTCACACACGGAACCAGCTTCTGTCTGGGGAAGCAGCACACAAATTTAGTTTCTGAGTTGCCTTAATGTGGCTTCCACAACAATAAACAGTCATGAGTCATCGTGTGCTAATGGGACCCTGGGCCGTCTCCTCCAGCCCAATTACCCAACGTCCGGGTCCCACGTTTGCAGGAAGGGCCCCCGTGAGCAGGAGGCAGCCTCCACAGCCACGACCACCGTCAACATTCTGAGGCCCTGCACCTGCCACTCACAGGCCAGACCTCCAGATGCCACACCCTGCACCCACCAGCCCGACACCAGCAAAGGCTTCGGCTATTCCTACCTGGGAGAAAATGTAGTCACCCAGATGACCTAAGTCTAT